CTCAATCAATTTTGTACCATTATTATGCTCATAACCTTAGTGGCATGCCTCGCGTGGTCATGAATAAAAATCCATTTATTTATAGTGTCTGGCTAGGCTGCAAGTAAGTAATAAATAATACTTGTTTTACATTAGTGAAGAGCGTCGAACCCCATTGCCCGTCTTCGTTGAAAAACAACGAACCTGTACAGGAAAATGGATTGGCATTCATCTCACGGTAGCAGCGAAACATACTAAGTGTATTCAATTAAGTAAATAATGCACGGCTTTCGGTATGTCTCCAGGCAAGAAACATGTGAAAGTGCAGTTGTGAAGAGATAAGGTCCCAAGTGAAATCTCTCCACAATGTCGAACAGGTAATCCACCCAACAAGGTAAGTTGCAATACCTTCAGGTAATCATCCATCTAAATCTAGGTGATGAGCCCTTGCTCCTCGTGTTACCTGTCATAATTGGTAAAGCTAAACAAGCCAGAGCCGTAGTACGATTCATCTGTGGCAAGCCAACATTCCTCTGCAACTCTCGGAAGGATTGGCAACGGGCAAGGGGCGACCAAACAGACGGCCAAAACCCAATTGATTGGTGACGCAAATGGATGTGCAAGCGACTTGCAACAAAGCACAAGCACCAAAGCACAAATCGATAAAAAAACATGTTCTTCCTAGTCGATTGTCTGGAATAAGCGCACCAACGCTCTTCTAATTCGGATGATATCAATCAGTCATAAGTTGCAATAAAATTTTGATAAATTCAACATCATATAAACTGCATTTTAATAAGCCTTACTGCCTTTTCTTCCTTACAAACTCCAGGTCAGAATCCAAAAATTCTTATCCTCCTAAGCTACGGCACATGGATTTCATTCAATAGGTAGTTCCCACAACGTGCGAATAGTCTGCCTGTCATGCATTGTAATTATTATTATCTTATTATTTATTTCTAGTATTTATTTTCTTAGAGCAGACTACTAAGCATCTATGTTGAGATGGCGGATTTGGGCTCTCTAGCTAAAAAGTAAAATTATCCGAGAAATAATTCCACTGACTAATTGGAATATGAAAAAAGATGTAGCAGTTAGAAAAGCTGCATGACGGTAAGGGTTGTGGCTCCAGTAATAAATTTGTAGGCACAAAAATGTGGGCGTTGAGCTGTTCTACGAGCTGAGTGATTATCGTGCAGACGTTTCGTTGTCTGCCTAGGCAACATCATCAGTGCTGCTTCAGGGGCCTGGTTCGCAGTGACTCCTAAGGAACTTCAGTGTCCAAGTGCTTCTTGATCGGGTATGAGTTATTCTTGAGCAGATTTAAGAGGTCTTCTTTTGCCTGCCTCAGCTGCGGTGTGCTACAATGGGTTTGTGCTCGTTTGAAAAGGGTTCGCATGCAGCTGCGTTTGTGGGCTGCCGGAGGATTGCTACCGTATTTGATCTGGTCCGTACGAGTAGATATTCGGTAGACCGTTGTTTCCAAGCTTTCAGCACCAGTCCGTTGCATGCGAAGGTCTAAGCATTATAACCGCGCGTTGTTCTCCGGCTCCCTGGTGAATTGGATGCCATCGAACACAAAGCTGATTAGTTTGTGTGTTTCCTCTAATTTGGCACGTTTGAGGATAACGAAGGTGTCATCTACGTATCGTACCCAATGTTTCGGTCTCGCGATCGAAAGTGCTATTTGTTTCCGCGCCTGTATCACTGTCTCGGCTACCGAACCTGAGATCAGCGATCCCATTGGTGTACCTCTAAGCTGTTCCTAAATTTGGCCATTGAAAGTGAAATGCGTTGTTAGACGGAATTCCAATAAGTCCATCATCTGTTTGGGGTCGAGTTTACTGCTTGCATCAGACGACATGTGCTCCTTTAACAGGCGCGTAATTGTTTGTTTCGCCAAGCCAATATCGATTGAGGTGAACATGACGGTAACATCGAAAGAGACCATAAGTTCGACTCCTTCAAGGGTTGCGGTTTTAAGTTTATGAAGGACCCGTTTTGCTGCTTTGATCGAGTGTTCCTATCCCGCGATTAGGTGTTTTAGCTGTCTCCAGAGCTTTTTGCAAGACCCATATCAACTCCTTGATCTCAAATTCACTGGATGAACGTTGCGCATCCTTGCTAAACTTTGTTCACGGAGGGAGCAGCACAGCTACAGCAAAAAGAGTGGCATCAAGGAGTTCTTAGTATGTAGTTGTCCAACCACTGAAACGTTCCGCTGCCTGAGCAGTTACAACCTATCCGAAGAAGCTGTTCCATTGAATCAGAACCATTGTACTAGAAGGAAAACGCTAGAGTCTGTATTATAACATTGGTCCATTGGTTTGTAGAGAGCAGAAAGTAAACCCTTTTTCAGGCGTATACCTTTCCGCACATACGGGGGAACACGTGAGTTGATCCAGCACAGTGTTCGACAGGGGAATAGTGTGGTCACGGCCAACTCAACGACATCCATGCTTGTCCAGCAAAGAGGTTTCTCGTAAACGTTCGAAACCTTCCACTGTTTGCGCCCTGACGACTAGCTCAGGTAAACTGTTTAGAGAGTAGCCCATAGCGGGAGCTGGGAATTGGATTCACAAGCGCAGATCGGGTTGCAAGGAAACGTTTATTTGTACAGCACAAGATTCTTCGTTACCTAGCTACAAAAAAGCAACACGGTTGACGCTCTAGCTAGGGGAAAGAAGGACTCACAACACGCAGGGCAGTCGCGCGCTGCAACCGTAACGAGCGCCAAGTAAAAATTGTCATGTGCAAGTCAAGCATTCCAACACAGAAAGCAGTTCAACAAAACACACCGGTAGCCTAGGTGTAAAATGAAAAAATTTCAGCTATAATTTTACGCAGGCGAACCGCGGGATCTCCAAACTGCTACAACTGTTCCAGTCATTTACTACACCAGCTGAAAAAGTATCCGAAGCGTATCCGAAACCTTGTTTTAAACGGATTCGTACAGGGGCTTCTTGTCGCACTGTCCTTCCAAAGACGAAAGAAGTTGTGTCTCATCGGGAAGGGCTATTGGTTGTAAGGTGGAAAGGATTTCGTGGCCATTCTCTGTGGTAACACCAATGGAAGACGGAATGAACGTGCAGTTTTCACTCATAGCGGATGTTATCAGAACAATGATACTGAGTTAAAATCAGAAACCTGTGTGCACTAGGAAGATGGTTATGCTAAATAAAACCGCTGACTACCGGTGTCTGTGAAAGTCGCGCTCGATTGGAATGCTGGAAATGACACAGTGGAGAAGTGCTAAATTCTGATTGGCGGGAAAGGGTTTCGCTTTCATTGTCCTCGGAAACATCCAAGATAGTTTGAGTGACTGCAGAGTATATTGTTAATCTTGGTGGTATTAGGTCGTTGCAAATAGAATATAATGCTAAATGGATTTGCTTCATGAAAACGGTTATGATAAATGAAAGTGATGACAACAGGTGTAGTTGAAGTTCACGGCATAATCGAAATCAGGCGACTGGTAAATACAAGTGAAATGTGAACTGCTGTTTTATGGAGCGAATAAGTGTTAATGCAATTGTTTCATGCATGTAAAGGTTATGCTAGCAGTAACTTACTTGCATGGATACGGGATATACATATCTCTTGTTTGATTATTGTATCTTTCCTAATTTTTGCAATCGCGATGAATGAAAGCGAATTTTACAACTAATAAAGCTTACCAACTGCCATTTTCGTACAAACTCAAGCACAAAGCGACCTATACACATCTCTTTCAAATCCAATAATGAAAGCATCAGCATTTAGCCTGGCGTACCGAAACATAAAGTCCCCCCAGGCCAATTTTTTATGTCAAAAATTACCCACTCCGGTAGTAGTGGTGAGCTGTTTTCTAACAAATGGCGGAAATTTTTGACCGGTCATTGTGCAATGGAACGGCAGGTATCAATAGCGCAATGGCGAGAAAGTAAGGTTTCAACAATGAAGACGAATGCACTCCGTGAGTTTATAACGTATTACAATAATTCAAAGTGTGCAGTAAAGTAGATTACTGTAACCATAGTAACATGTCCTTGAAAATTTCAAACTGAGTACTTTCAGCGAAGGGAAAGGGCTAATTTTTGTCATGGCGGGAAAGGGTTTCGCTACCGTTGTTCTAGGTAACATCCAAGTTTGTTTGAGTGGCTGCAGAGTATATTCTTAGTTTTTGTAATATTAAGATGCGGGGAAATAGAAAATAATGCTATATGGATTTGCTTCGTGAAAACGGTTATGAAAAAGTAAAGTGATGACTACAGGCGTAGTTGACGTTCACGGCATAATGGAAACCAGGCAAATGTGCCGTGTTAAAGGCTGCTTTATGAAGCAAATAAATGTTAATGCAATTGTTTCATGTATGTAAAGGTTAAGCCGCGTTCTGACCGGATCTGGGCGAAAACTCGGAACTGGAACTGGAACTCGCTTCCAGAAAGGGTAGTCAGTGAACCTACGAGCGTCAGTTAGACGCTCTTGGGTGGCAACACGAAACCTTTCCCTTCACCTGACCATATCCATCTTCAATCTTTTAGTTCTTATTCTGTCATTCTCTTCACTCTTTGGTGTTATCCTTCATTTTCATGACTTTCATGTCCCTTTATCTTCCATTTACTTTCTACTTCTTTCTTACTTCACGTAACCTACACAGCGCGGACTGCTAGTGCAGGGAACATGGGCAGTAATTGGTTGACCAGGGTGTGTTTCGGGTGTTTCGTTTTAGATCTATCAAGAACTAGCACCTTATCAATTCCTGGCTCAACGATTTGCTCAAGAAAGAACATTCAAGGGATTTTCCTATCGTTCCAGTCCATCTGAATCTGAACCTCTTGTCTGATTATTGTATCTTTTGTATTTTTTAAAATCGCGATGAATAATAACGAAGTTTACAACTAATATATCTTACCAACTACCATTTTTGTACATACTTAAGCACAACGCGGCCTATACACATATCTTTCAAATCCAGTTATGAAAGCATTACTATTCATCATGGTCTTCCGGAACACAAAGTACCTCCAGGCCAAATTTTCATGTCAAAATTTATCCACACTCTCAGCGAAGTGTTGATATTGCAATGGCTTGTTAAACGGTGAGATATTTTAGTCCTTTAATAAAGATAAGCCGATTTTAATTATCCTATGTATGCAAATCTGATGAAACCTCGTAGGAAATGTATATTTCAGGCTTACCTTGCATGGTGTGATGTAATTGTTCGTTGGTGATGAATTCTTATAAAATATCCTTTGCTGCAACGGAGAAATCATAGAATCCGCAAAGTAAAATTAATGAAATCATGTAGAAAAGTGAACCGGAAATGGTAGTGTTGTTGAATATTAAGCGGTGAAGAAGAACGAGAAGTCATGTTATTTGGTAATATGCTAATAGAGAAGGAACTTGTACAATCCGTATTAGAAGTAAACCGAACTAGATGACGATCGACATAAATTAGCTGCTGAAAAGGGAACAAGCATAATATGAACTCATAATATGGGTACAGTTTTACACTGTGTTAAAGTAGCGGCAAATTATTGACGCGGAATTCATTTCGAATTTCTGAAATAACGGCCATTCAGTATTCATATTGTGCAGAGTCTGTGCAAACGTAGTGATGAATAGAAACAGCAGGATATTTATTTCATAAACGCAATGGTATATTTAACGATGTGAAACTGCAGTCAACAAATAAACACCAGATATCCCAGATAGTATGGAAATATATATCGTCAGAAACATATATATATATTCATATATTTATTTATTTATGCCATATTTATATATTATAGTAGAAGTCAGTAAGTTAAATCTATATTATTTATACAAAAATATATAATCGTAGAGAAAAATTACACATATATATATATATTGTAGCGCCCAAAAAGATAACTCTTATCTTTCGTGTACAATTTACTTGTCGACCGATTGTACATTACTCCTTCTTGTTTTAATCTTACAACCGGCTCGACACACAACTGCCTTGGAAGTCCCCGCGCTCACGTGTACGCTCTTGCCTCTCTTCATCCGTCCGCTTATTGTTGTAGCCCACCGAATACAGTCCGCTGTGTCCGACTCCAATTGCCTTCTGATATCCGCGCTTAATTCAGCGCATCGTCTCGGACTAGTATTAACTAGTCCTACAATATCTTTGTTGGCATCCGGCTTCTGATTTGCCTGTCATTGTGACCAGTCACAGGACGCCTGAACTTACAGTGGAACCATGTGCAACTTTGGAAATTATTGAGAATACCTGTAGTTTGGGATGTGGATGAAAGAATTGTCCTGTTCTCCGAGCTGGGCATTTCGGTTGCAGACGTTTCGTTACCAAACTAGGTAACATCTTCAGTGCAGCTATTTAGTGCTGATTCGCGGAGTCTCGCAAACCAATGCTAGATCTGAATGACTATTGCTTGTTGCCTGCTTTGAATGTCAGCCTTCTATCGGTTCACGTGTCCGTCATGTAGGCACCTCTTCTCCTAGTCGATCTGGTGCCTAATGCTGGCTTAACCTGCAGAGCTTCATAGACACCCTCCAGCTCCAGGTGTTTGTTGATTGAGTTCCGGTCAGAATGCCAGGCCCCGAGGAACTCACGCGCTCTGCGGTTTCTTGCTCTTCCAAGTATTTCAACGTTCTCCAGATCGAACTGCTGGTTCTCGGCATCCATATGTACCGACATTAAGGATTTCTCATCGTGGCGGCGGATGGCCAGACTATGTTCGTGCAGTCTTGTGCCAAGTTTTCTTCCAGTCTGGCCTACATAGTACTTCTCACAGTTCTTGCAGGAAATTTTGTAAACCACACCCGATGTTTCTTTCTTAGACAGTTTGTCCTTCACCTTAAAAAGTTTATTTCGTATGGTTTCCGTTGCTTCGTGAGCAACAGTTATCCCGTGAGGCATTAGAGGCCTCGCTGCCATTTCAGAAATCCCATGGATGTAAGGTAGGATAATCGTTCTTCTTTCTGTTGCACATGTGGACGCGGGTGGTGACTGGCTCTTCGGCATCAGGTAGCGTAGGATAAAGCTTCTAGGGTACGAATTTTGCTGAAACATGTTAAATAGGTGGTCCACCTCCGCCTTCCTCATTTGAAGCCACACAAATGATGGAGTTGCTTGATTTCTGTCTCACCACACATTTCACTTTCAACGGTCAAATGTACAAACCGATAACGGGTACGCCAATTGGATCGCCAATCTCTGGACTGGTAGCGGAAGCAGTGCTGCAAAGCTTGGAAGAGATGGTATTGCCAATAGTGGAGCCCAAACTTTGGGTCCGTTACGTAGATGCTACTTTTGTCATCGTCAAACGCTCCAGACTACAAGAATCACATCAAATAACCAACCATATTTTTTCCGGCATCCATTACACCAAAGAGGAAGAGAACAATGATCAGTTGCTATTCTTGGACGTGCTCGTGAGAAGACATGCTTCTGGGTCACTGGAAACAACAGTTTATCGGAAAGCGACCCACACTGATCAGATCTTAAACTATCGCAGTAACCATCCGACCACATACAAGTGAAGTTGCGTCAGGACGCTTTTCAAACAGGCCCAGATACATTGTAGCACGCCGCAACTGAGGAAGGCGGAGGAGGACCACCTATTTAACATGTTTCAGTAAAATTCGTACCCTAGAAGCTTTATCCTACGCTACCTGATGCCGAAGAGCCAGTCACCACCCGCGTCCACATGTGCAACAGAAAGAAGAACGATTATCCTACCTTACATCCATGGGATTTCTGAAATGGCAGCGAGGCCTCTAATGCCTCACGGGATAACTGTTGCTCACGAAGCAACGGAAACCATACGAAATAAACTTTTTAAGGTGAAGGACAAACTGTCTAAGAAAGAAACATCGGGTGTGGTTTACAAAATTTCCTGCAAGAACTGTGAGAAGTACTATGTAGGCCAGACTGGAAGAAAACTTGGCACAAGACTGCACGAACATAGTCTGGCCATCCGCCGCCACGATGAGAAATCCTTAATGTCGGTACATATGGATGCCGAGAACCAGCAGTTCGATCTGGAGAACGTTGAAATACTTGGAAGAGCAAGAAACCGCAGAGCGCGTGAGTTCCTCGGGGCCTGGCATTCTGACCGGAACTCAATCAACAAACACCTGGAGCTGGAGGGTGTCTATGAAGCTCTGCAGGTTAAGCCAGCATTAGGCACCAGATCGACTAGGAGAAGAGGTGCCTACATGACGGACACGTGAACCGATAGAAGGCTGACATTCAAAGCAGGCAACAAGCAATAGTCATTCAGATCTAGCATTGGTTTGCGAGACTCCGCGAATCAGCACTAAATAGCTGCACTGAAGATGTTACCTAGTTTGGTAACGAAACGTCTGCAACAGAAATGCCCAGCTCGGAGAACTGGACAATCCTTTCATGTGTGTCTTGTTTATGGAGTCGCCTGTACCGGAGCCTGGAACGATTCGAAAGGACAGATCGAGTTGCAGAGAAACATTTATTGGTACAGTAAAAGATTCCCTGTTATCTAGTTATAAAAGAACGACACCAGGGACGCTTTAGCTAGGGGAACGGAGCATGCACAGCATACAGAGCAGTCGCGAGTTGCAGCTGAAACGAGTGGTAAGCAAAAATGACAATGAGCAGGTCCAGCATTCGAACTCAGCAATCAGTTCAACAAACTACACCGGTTTCCTAGGTGCACAATAAAATAATTTTATTCAGAATTTTACACAGGCAAACCGGGGAATCTCCAGACTGCTACATAGCCATCTCCCAGAAGGGACTGTGTAAGCAGTCCTTCGATCTACGTGAGGACTATCCGTCGCGGGCCAGCCATCTGCGAGACCAGGTTATGAAACTTGATTCAGCTGCTGGGTGAGAACCATGCAATCGGACCCTAGGGGGCTCCAACCAGTGTCCTCCGTACAGTATCAATACGGTAAAAAGCTGCTTGTGGGAGGACAGTTAGTAAAGTTCACGTAGGCGGTTGAGCAGGAAGTTCGTTCCACTTCCAGCTGACGTGCGGGGATCCAGCGAAAAGTGAAACCGAGGTGCAACCAACCGGCAGTGTATTTGGAAAGCAAAATGAAAAAGCAGCATAAATGCATAGCAATACACAAAAGAGTGCACAGCGGAAAACGTGTAAAGCTGTTTTTGGGTTTTCAAAAGGTTTTGCTCTTTTTGGTAGTTTCAAAACGTTTTGGTTTTTTGTGGATTTTCAACAACGTTTGGTAAGAGCAGAAAATTTCAGAGGCACGTTCTGTGTAAAATAGTAAGTGCCAACAAAGTCCGAGCTTCCTACCGGGTCGATTGCTAGTAGGGCGAGTAGGAGTGCTGTCGGTTGAGGTTGTCGGTTCTGCTGGAGCGAACTGACTCATATGAGGTTGCGGTGCGATCTGTGATGGCGCAGGCTGTGAAGCTGCTTGCTGCACCGAAGAGTCAGACTTGTCGAGGAATGCTGGCTTGAGTGGATAGACGTTGATTGTCTCAGTTTTACCATTGTAGTCAATGGCAAACATCGTGTCGCTTCTGCGTATGACACGGTACGGGCCAGAATAAGGAGGTTGAAGTGGCCGGCGTACGCTGTCAGTTCGAACGAACACGTGCGTGCAAGTAGTTAAGCGTTCGTCTACGTTTGTACACAAGGTCTATGTTCTGGGTTGCACAGGCTGAAGCTGTCACATATGAACAATGAATTTATACGGGTTAAGAAGCGTTGCTTTACAAGTCCCGTTGGATAGTTGGTGGGGATATCAACATAACAGTAATGATAATAAGAGTAGTAAAATAGTTAATAAATAAAATATGATACTAAGGACTTATCGTTTGCTTCCTTGTAGTCCTGCAATCCTCTTAGATTCACAGCACCCACAGTTAACAAAAATAATTCCATGGTAAACTCCAGATGTAGGATGGAGACGTAGTGTTAAGTAACAAAGTGTAAGTGGATGAGTGCATCGTCCAACCGTCTTTTAAATACTGTTAGTGTCGGTGAGAGACGACCGATTCTGGGAGAGCATTTCACGGGTGACAGACACGAAAGGAAAAGAAATTTCTACGGCACTCCAAACGACTGTATTGTTCTGCGAGTTTTAATGAGTGGCCCCTCAGGTTTGTATTGCCGCTAAGTTGCAGTAAAGGACGGCACACATTATGTGGGTCTCGCAGAAGCAAGTATGCCATAATCAGGTCACTTCGTAGTCTGTGATAACTTCCACCGAACAATCCCAGTCGTTGCAGTCTCTCCTGGTAGGAAAGATTGCGCATTTCAATTTGCGTTCTTAGATGCCCGGCGTTGTGGCTGCTCCAGTGCATTAAGGTCATGTTTCAGCCATGGATGCCAGGCTTGAATGGCGTATTCGACATGGGGGCGAACATACGCACTGAACATTTGTGGAAATATGAAGCTGTTTATTTGTCCAAACGCCCGCCTCAACAGCCCGACGTGTTGGTTCCCGGTCTTCGAGGCCTTTTCGGATTGCCTGGAGCAACCCAAATCATCTTGAACCAGGACACCCAAGTCACGTTCGAGAGTTGATTGTTGCAGTACATTCGTTCCGAGTCGGTATGAGTAGCTGCTCTGATGTCGGATGGAAAGCACCTTGCATTTACTGACGTTGGAATGCAATAAGTTTTGGATCGACCATTGATACACTGTATCTAAGTCACTCTGAAGCACATGTTGGTCAGCGTTTGCCTGGATCCTGTGCCAGATCTTGATATCGTCGGCCAACATTAGGAAGTTTGAAGCAATTCCCTGTGCAAGCTCATTACTAAACACCAAAAACAAACGTGGACCTAGAACTGAACCTTGCGGCACACCACACTCGACTTGTATGGGGTCCGATAAAGAGCTCCGAACTCTGACCACTAATTGCCGTTGAAGTAGGAAGTTGGCGATCCAGCTTAAAAGGGGGTCTCTGATCCCGTAATGCTGCATCTTGGATAGTAGTATCCGATGGTCTAGACGATCGAAAGCCTTGATTAGATAGGCGAGCTGCGTAGTCGCCATAGTCGAAGGTTGTTGGCGCTTTTGGTAAGACGAGTTCACCAGGTAAGCGTTGTGTGCATCCAAAGACTAGCGACGATGGGGTGGCGTGCAAATCCGCTTTAATCGCGTTTCTTATGTCTAAGAGAACGAGCGGAAATGCTTTGTGCCAGGATGTGCTAGATTGGGCACAGAGTGATGCCTTGAGTTGCCGGTGGGACCTTTCTGCCATCCCATTAGCTGCGGTGTACTGCTCGTACTTTTTTCATGGGGTGCTGTCGTTCTTTCAGAGTTGCGGAAATTGCGAACTGTTTCTTTGGACCTTATCTTGCACCAGTGAAACGTTTTCGACTGATCAGATTACGTCTCGAAACTTGCTCCATCATTCAACAAGTTGGTCGACATTCTTTTCTTATCTATTTATCCTCTCGTATGGTTCCGAAACAAATACGACAAGATTAATAGTGTAAAAAATACAATAGTAATGTTTACTTACAGTATCAAAAGATCACGAAATACACTAGAGAGCACATGCATTGTGGCTACTGCCAAGAGCCTCAGCATGTTCGGGACGCAGCTTTGATTTGACTTTCATGAACGACCAACTGCCACCATCGTTGGCCCTACGAGTCGGCTGGTGCCGTTTAACCCATGCAAAATACACTTAGCACAAGACTGCTAAGAGCTTCCTAATCCCTGAATTAACCAATATTCCTTGTTTCAGCTATACGGCAAAAATGAGCCGTCTGTACGATGCCGTGGAGCCGGCTGTACTAGACTACAACATGCTGGAAGAGGCGGTCCATTCAATGTGTCCAAGCGGAGTCGTCGGAGAGCTGGCCAAGCGTGAGGGCATACCACTAGAAACGGTGACCGAATTGCGCTTGGATTTTAAGAGTTTGTTCAATTTCACCTGGAACACGCATTAAACATGTCTAATTCAGATATTTTGCATATTGACAATTTGTCGCCCCTTAAGAACCTTGTCAAATTGCAGCTTGACAACAATACGATTGAACAGATCAGCGGTCTTGATAGCTTGGTTAACCTGAAATGGCTCGGTATGCTTTCATCTGTTATCTCAGTGCTAAAGACTTGTCCTTCAATAAGATTGAACGGATTGCTGGGCTAGATCATCTGGTGAATCTCGAGGATCTCTCTCTGTTCTGTAACAGAATAGAAAAACTGGACAATTTGGATTCACTAAAGAAGCTACAGGTCCTCTCAGTAGGCAAAAACAAACTTTTCGATGAAGCTGATGCAAGTAGTTACATATTTCACAGCGAAACAATTTCAGGTTATATACTTGCGCAGATTTCCTGTTCTCCAGTCGCTGTGTATTCGAGGAAATCCTCTGTGTGATTCTGAAGACTACCAGTACTTACTGACAGCTTTTCTACCCAACCTGATCTACATTGACTATAAACGATGCGACCGTAGTTTGGTTTGTTGCTATTGTTAACTCAACAATCATGTTTGTGGAAGCGTAGAGAGCACAGGCGTACGAGAAATATCAGTTGCGAATAGATGAATTAAATGCTCAAGAACAGGCAGAAAGGGAATCGGAAAGACGAAGTGAGGAGCTTGAAGCCAAAAAACAATTGCACCAACGAGCTTTCGTTTCCGACTTGGACAGCGACACAATCTTCCAAGCACTCTACGAGAACGATCCAGAGGGGCGCGCATTATTGCCGGTTCCGGAGTTCTCGCATACTATTGAGACATATCCTTTTGCGAGGGCCAATTTGTTGTCAACCCACTTTGATACCTTGACACAATGAGATGTCACCACGAGTCAAATCATTAAGAAACCGGATTTAAATCACGAAGTGAAACCTGTCAAAATATCGCTATGAAATGAAGTCATGGAATTCATTAGGGTTTCTCCACACCTTAACAAAAAGTGTCTGTAGCTAGCACTTACAGTTGATGCGCGTAATGACATATCGAGGAGAGCCATTGATATAGCTAGTGCTTAGACAAAATCGTTTGTCAAGGACAACTTATTTATTAGTTTTCGTCACACATAGACAGCAAGTCAGGCACCACATATCCAGGAACGCGCTAGACAACGGTTTCGTCCCATTAGGATTCGTCAGAAGCGCACATCCGCCGGATTCTATAAGATCCGAACCTAGTTGTCTAGCTATGATAAACCTTTTCATAAAGCTTAACAAATCCTTCCACAACTACAACAGTCTGAGTTCCACCCCAGCTCAGGCTATCACTACATGATGAGTCCAAACCAGGAAGGAACCGCGGTCATGGTGTGCCAGTGTTGGAAGGAGAAACACCCAAATATTTCCAATCCGTAGTTATCTTAGCAGCTTACATGACACCCCGAGTGCTGGCGGCTTGCAAACGCAATCACAACACTGGGGGACAGCCACGTCCTCCGTAAGTTCATAACATTCATGATAGTGGAAGATGAGCCGCCCTGCATATCGCTGTTAGTAATCAGTCATGGATCAGTGACATATGTCGCTGACTCGTAAGTTAAGGTTGTGGGTTCGAATTCAGCAGAATTCGCACCGGATGCGCCCTGTTGACGAGTACCAATAGTACGAAACGGCCGTCTAGCGCTTTCCTGGATGTGTGGTGGCTATCTACCTGAGTCTAGCTGCGAAGAGTTTGCTTAAAAACACAATAAATCAAATGCTTTCGAACGATTGTTTTACTTCAATGGAAAATATCCAACCTAGGCTTTATGACATTTCTCACACCCGTGGCTTAAGTTACACTTATCACTGTATCGGAATTACCTTTTTCGATTGTTTTAGCACCCATGGAGGCCGCGGGATTTTTGTATAACCGTTCTGGATTCCACTTTTTCTTCAGGATTACTCTATGATACGTGACTTTTTCTGTGGCATTGTGCACCAATAGTTTTCCTTTGGTGTGTTTTTCAGTCGGTACAAATTTGGTGCATGTGCTCTGGCTAAATTCGGAGTTCTCGTTGATTGGCCCAACTGCCGTCTGTGTCATCTATCTTGGGTTTGTTCTACGGGAATCGGCCATCGTCACCACCACACCGCTAACTCGAAACGAAGTATTTTGTGCTAATCAAAGTTGTGCCAAAGTTGTAAACGCAGGAGTGAGTTGCACATATTGCCAAGAGCGGTACCATTCGAAATGCGTCGACGCCTGTAGAACCGACATACAGAAATACAATACGCCGGGTTCAATTTGTTTCTGTCCGAAGTGCACGACGGTTACGCTAGTAAAATGCGCACTAGCGTTAACACAAAAGTACGACAACCTAGTCGCCGAAGCTGAACATCGTTTGAATGCAAAAGTCGCTTCACTTGAGGCGATAATAGCGCATCTTGTACCTAATCCGTCTCTTTCAATTTCTGCCGCGAAACCAAGAAAAGGGACCAGGCGTTCACAAGGTCACGCAGTACTAGAAACCATGTGAACCGCGAATTAACTCGTCATCGCGACCGATAGAAGCATGCCTAGCTCACACATCCCACATCCACTTATCCAATATACCGACTGATGCAACATCGGTAAAATCCACCCTTCCGATTGACCAACGAAATCCGGAGCACTCTAAAGACCGATCCATCTATGCGACCGTTGCTGCTCGCTATAAGCAAAGTGCGACCTCAGTAGCCTCACCCAGTACAGTCACAAACGAGGTCAAACACCAGGTGCAACCTACAGAGACGTCACTAAATTCCTCGATAACCGTGCTTCCCACATCACCGAAGAGCAGGCGGAACTACGGAGCCTTGAAACTTATCTGCACCAACGTTCCTGAATCCAAGGCAAACTCCTTAAGGGGTAAACAGGAGGAACAAAGTTTGATGGGCTCCCACTAACTCTTATGCGGTATACCGGGGTATTGTCCGAACACGTGATACTGGTTACTAGTGTGTATCGGCAAAGTGAACACAAAACCGGATAAGGCAATTGCCAATAGCACAAAACTGCTGTGTGTCATAGTCGAAACATGTGTGACATTATAGCAGGTGGGTTTTTCACAAGTGTTGTACGTTATGTGGGTCAGGTAATAAGAACAATGTTCGGGTACACAAAATAAACACAAGATTCGTGGGTTTTGATGAAAACATGCCAACTCTATGCATACCCACCTGTAGTCAGTTGTACACTCGATTGGGAACATGTGGCTTATTCCCTTTTTGTGGCAGAGTAACAAGTTTCACACACAGTTCCGTAACGCTGTCTGGCTCCGGTTTTCCAAAAACTGAATTCTACTCTGTTTAGGTTGGCTCTAACCCTAACAGCTGCATGATTTAAAGCGGTGGGATTTCCTTTGTGATAAAATCGAAGTTCAAGCCAGTCCGACTAACATACTGCGCATCATTACACATCCAATTTCGAATCATTATAGAGAGCCCGGGCTAATGCGAGTAACATTGGGATCAAAACATGATGTCGAGACTGTGCTTTTCTCGGCATCCTGCCTGCGGACTGAAAACAATGGAATACGCATATTTCCGGATGTTTCTGTAGCAGACGCCGGCGGGAGAAAATTAATTCAAACGACCACCACACGGAGAGGAAAAAAGAATTAGTTTCGTTCATGGCGTGCCCGAGCTCCAGACAACTAGCAAGGAAGAAGCTCACGCTCATGACCTGGAATAATGGCGTTACATCCGTGAAACTCTCTGTGTGGACGACGTCATACTTCCGTTGATTACACGGTTACCCGTGTCGTCAAACTAAAGCAGGAGTGACCCTAGGATACTGAAATTAATTTTGCAGTCACGAAAGATGGACGTAAACTTACTCCGTAGCTCGCAGTTACTACGTAACAAACTTCCTTCGGAACTACGACTAAAGATAGCAGTTAGAGAGCCGTAGCCACTCGCTGTTCTCGCGGAAACGACACCACCCACAACTCAACATAACCACAACATCGATCCAGAAACCTGTGTACTAATACCATAGCTATCGAGAGAGCTGTCGATGGAGTACATACCGCAGGTGCAAGTGAGATGAAAAACAGATTGCATTCCTATCAAGACTTGGCAATTCATCCAAAAAACGATTAGGTGCCGGCCTCTCATCAGTCGGCACAAATCCACATCATTCATGTGGTCCTAGTCAATAACTTTTGGTATCCGAGATGGTTTCTTGTATACACACCAACGCTCGAGGCCTACTGAGTAAACTCTCCGAAATGCGGCTGCGTCAAGCATCAAAGGCCTGTGACCTCATCGCTATAACGGAGACATTGTTACGCCCTGACATAAGTGACACGGAGATCGCACTGCCAGGCATGTCCATTGTTCTGCACGATCGACACAGCAAAAGTGGAAGAGTGGCTCTGTACTTCTGAAACGACCTCCAACGTGAGCTCACAGAGGATACGGTCAGCACGGTACAAGATTCCCTTTGGTGCCGTCTACGTTTAAAAGGCGACGACACTTGCTTAGTGGCGGTCATTTTACTACCCTCCTTCATCCACGCCCAAGATGGACTTCCATCTGGTATCTGCAATCGTTGACGGCCTCCGGTTCTGGACTTGCCTGTCACTGTGGTCTCTACAGGACAGGCACAGGACACCTAGGTCTATATAAGGACCATGGATGGCTTACGCCGCACCACCCACACCTCCAACCACACACCTCATGTCCAGTGTAAATCCGGAGGAATAAGACCACGAGACATGTAGATGGGAGCCACATTTCATCAACGGAGCCGGTCCACACTCCTTCACAGGCAAACACAAGCACGCTGTATTTGGGGAATCAACCGCACACACGGCGGTGGTTAGGGCGTACCCCGATCCACACACAAACCACGTGCATAGAACCACTCTTTGAGCCTAACATGGTCACGGGGACCGTACACCCTGTCCCCTCTAGCAACGACCGAATGTCTCCTAGAGCTAGTATAGACGAAGTAGTGGGTACCTGACAGGTAGGCACCGTGTCAACATGCACATCAAGCACAACCACATCGGGAATATCAAGCAACAGTCAATCATTTGAAACGACGACATCAAATAAAATATATCGAATAAAGTAAACGGACATGACGACGTAGATACTCGCTAAATGAGTATATGGAGTAAACTGGTTATCAACGAATCCGCGACAAGTACAAAACGTCAGAGTTATTTAAATAGATGTCACCTGATAAAGTGACGCAAGTTTACCACAATTAGCATGAGCGACGTGTGCCAGTTAACAGATTATCACATACGCGGCTTCAAAAGACCTAGTTTAAGTGCAAGTTGGTTTAGCCCAGCTACGGTGAAGAAATATCATGAATACAACATCACCCTCAGCGTGGGGTCTACGTACACCCATACTTGGTTGGCGGCATCCGGTTCCGGATTTGACTGTCACTGTGGCCAGCCACAAGACGCCTGCGTCTGCAGAGGGATAATGGATGGCTTGCGCTGCACTACCCACAGTTCCACCCACACACTCCATATCCAGTGTAAAACCGAAGGAATAAGACAGGGAGGCATGTGGATGGAAGCCACCTTCCATCAACGGAGCCGACCCACACTCCTTCACCGACAAACGAAAATGCAGCATGCTTGTGTTTGCCTATGGCATCTGCAATAAGGAGGGTGATAAACACAACTTCCAGCCACATTCTCATTACTGGCGATTTCAACATCCACACTTTGGAGTCCCAAGCATCTCCTGGAGAACAGTTTAAGGCGCACCTACAGGAGTTTGTCACCAGTTACCTGTTGTATGGCTGCATCAACACTCCCACTCGATTCCAAGAAAAATACAAACCGCCAATACTGGCTCGGATATTCACCAACAAAGAGGTAATGGTCGAGAGA